GGACACACATACACACACACATACACACATACACACATACAGACACACTAACTGCAAAGACTCCCATTTTGTGCTTCGCACATGGGAGTCAAAAACTATGGTCAAAACAAAGTCGTATTTGAAGGATTCAGTGTACAATTAATGCATCTTTTGGTTTATATGCACTTCTGTTAGAAATAAGCATATAATAGAGTAAATATGGTATCCTAAAATATTTCATTTTGTCTACATGTACATGTAGATATTTATTAGTTAATATACCTGACAAGTAAAATTATATACTGCCACCTACAGGTTGATGCAATACTGGTACTGTGTGAGGGCGCTGTGTAAAAGCTATATTGGTATACTGTAAAATATATAATTCAAAATTGTAGCCACATATATAAAAGACAAAATCCATCTATTCATGTCTAAGAAATAATTGAGCAAAAAATTGGGGTTGGGTTGAGGAGTACTACATAAATTCCTGCAAAGTTTGAATGAATCCAGTCTACATATCTGAGAAAGTACAATGTTACTTTCACAATGAATATCAAAAGTTCCTAGGGGTTTCCCAACCTCAGATTTGATCAAATATTCCAATTACACTGGTGACAGAACTTATTATATATAAAAGTGCATGCATGCCAAAATACAAATCAAAGAAAACTTAGAACTCAAGAACCACTTTTTTGATTTTGATTGATATCTGTCAGGTGTAGTACTTTGGAAATGTGAAAATAATAAAATTTGCTAAGTAATATGCAAATTAGGTCATTTTCAACAACAAAACTAAGCAAGTCTGCCCATTGCCTCAGAGCATGTATGCACCAAGTTTTATTGAAATCTGTTAATTCATTTTGGAGATATAAGTGGAACAAACACACACATAAACCACAATGACTCACATTGTGTGTTTCGGAAACGGGAGTAAAAAATAGGAAATTAGCTTGGAATTCTTGACATTACTATATAATAGACTTTAAATTGAAAGATGTATTCATTTATTAAATATAAAAAAAAAAAAAAAAAGTTTTTAAAGGCCAGAAACCTGACACTTATAAAAAAAGATAATTTAAAAATAAAATTCCTTAATATAAATTATTTAATAAGTGCCTTTTTTTTTTTCAAGTCTGCCCATTGCCTCAAAGCATGTATGCACCAAGTAAAAAGAAGTGCCTTTGTTCAATATAAAGTGTCATTCTATCTATAAGTCTTCTGTTTTATTCACAGGTTCAACAGGTCACTGGGCTCCTGGGTGCCCCTTCAGGTAGTCTGGCTGTATGGTGCTGAATAAATCTTTTATGTGTCTTTTTACCAAGTCTGTCAGGGTCTTTTTAATTTCCTACATACCTTGTTTAGGATATGCTGTATTTTTCTATGAAACAAACATATCAGCGATGTATTTTGTTCATAAATTCAAATGGGTGTTAGTTACAATTTTTCTTGACTTCTAAATTCTGTGAACTAAGTTTCTGTTTTCAATTTTTAACCATTTGATAATGACACAAAAGGGCACTGCAGAGAAATAACAAAATGCGCTGCCATTGAAGTGTCATTTTTGTTTGCATTTTTTTTTCAATTTATAGAAATTTGCTGTACTGTTCAATCTAACCATTTTCCCAATTTTAGTCAGTGTTCTTAAAAACCTTACAATTAAATTAACAAAAAACACTGCCAAGCCATTAAATTTATTGTAGAGGTAATGAATTTTCACTTTTACTGATTTTTACTGTCACTAGGTGTAGATACATACTTTTGGGTTTACTTCAAAGTGGCAAGCCACAAAAACAGATTTTCATCCAAGGGAGAAGTAAACCATTATGTATTTTTTTTACAGAAACATGTTCAGTAACTATTTATTTTAGAATGTATTTTGCATGTATCGGTATTATCATATTGGTCTCACTTGCAACTAGAAAACTAGAAAGCAAGGATGGCCTCTTTATATATTATAACAATGTCATATATGAAGTGTTCCTTTGTACCATGGTAATCTAAAACAGTCTATAGAGTCAAACCTGTGTATAGCGACCACCCATGGTTTAGATATAGGGGTTATATTACTGCCAACTCACACATTTGTCATAATATTTATCTAGAAAATAATGAGATGGTAATGTTGCAAAAAAGGCACATTTATTTGAGTTGATCAAACTGAAAAACTGAAACAAATTTGTCACTTACAGAAAGGTGGTCTTTAATATAAAGGTAGTCACTATTAAATACAGGGTTGTCTGTATAGGTAAGCGATAACAGTGTTTCCTCTGCCAGAATATCTCTGCATAATGCAAGGATCTTTACAATAAACACTGACTGCAGTACAAGGTTTTTAATTATATCTTCAATTTAATAGAAACTTAACAATTGGTGGAGGTTTTACTTAAATTTTGCATGATTCTGTGCAATTAAAGGCTAATGACAATTAATTAAATAAAAACTGTTTTTCCTCTATTTAAAGGTTCACTCTAAAATCATTCATATATTAGGATCTTCATGTGTAATATTTTCATGTTCTGAAATGTGTGATTTGATAGTGTGTTCAAATTTATACTGTTATAATAATACTGTTAGTGTTCGACAGAGTATGAATTTATAAAGATTTGCTTCAGACTGCAGTAATTATTCCCCCCAATTCAGACCAATATATGTTTCACATAATAAAAAGATGATCTCGAAGTGAGACTTTAATACAGAATTTATTAAATGTATCTGCATAGGTAGAAACCATTTAGTCATAGAACAGTGTTCTACAGACAGCGG